TTTAACCACAACGACTTTTTTAGCACTTTTTTAGCCCTTTTTTTAAGGGAATTTGGCTACCACTAAAAATGATTCGCGGCTGTATTTCACTGTAGTTTGTGCAAATTCGGCAGCCGGAGGGGCAGAATTTTTCGGTTCAAAATAGTTCGTTGTTTTTACAGAGTGCATTCGGAACGTAAAACTGTTTTTTTGGTGATTCACGGACATTGAAAATACACTTTCTCCCAATTAGGTAAATTACATAAGTTTATCCCAAAATATGGATCAGTAACACCGCGTTCACGTTGAAATTCTAAATGATACCGAACATGCAAAAATTTTAAAGAAATAATTTGAGTCCAATTATTTTTACCCTTTCAAAAGCTTCCAAAGCCTTAAAATTCAAACCAAAGATATGCCTGCACTATATATGTATATATCGTCGTTTAAAGTATAAAAACTATATTTTTTTTTTTTAACCCCCAAAACCCGTACCTGCGTTCGGCCCTGGGTATGTGTAAAACAAGAAAATTTTTACAATATGGAGAAAACTCCCCAAAAATTCGTACAAAAATCCGTACATCTTGACGGAAAGTTAAAAACCCGTACGGTGAATCCCTACCGTACGAAAAATATGTACATCTGGCAGGGCTGATTGCCACCAGTGCAAATTACAAATCCTGAAAATCGCGGGATTCTTGGCAGATAGTACCGGGATTTCCCGGACGCAAAAAAGGCCGATATCCCGGGACTAACATCCCTAGTAAGTACAGACAAGTCACAATTGAGAGAATTGTTCGGTTCCGGATACGAGACCGCACTGTCGGCATCGTGTATATGTAGTTACCCAAAAAAAACTTTACTCAGAATCTTGGAGAACTATAGATTTTTGTTTTCTAAGTTAAGTTTCTAAGTGCAAAGAGAGCCTTGGGAGAATCATGCTTTCATATTGTGTTTTTTTACTTATTTTTAATACAAATCCTTCAAATCCTTCATATTTCAAAATGGTTCTCTTTTTTATAAAGCAATCGCATTTCTGGCTAGTATATTTCAGGACGAATGGCTAAGGATTGAGCCAAGAGCTTGTATGAGGAAATACAATTTTTGGCAGCAAATGTCAGTTACGCGGTTTTGCAGAATGACGACTCGCGGTTTTGTACTTTAAACGACGATATATGTATATTGGGGTGCGATATATGTATTTTGTGGCGACTATATATTTTTTTTAACCCCCAAAACCCGTACCTGCGTTCGGCCCTGGGTATGTGTAAAACAAGAAAATTTTTACAATATGAAGAAAACTCCCCAAAAATTCGTACAAAAATCCGTACATCTTGACGGAAAGTTAAAAACCCGTACGGTGAATCCCTACCGTACGAAAAATATGTACATCTGGCAGGGCTGATTGCCACCAGTGCAAATTACAAATCCTGAAAATCGCGGGATTCTTGGCAGATAGTACCGGGATTTCCCGGACGCAAAAAAGGCCGATATCCCGGGACTAACATCCCTAGTAAGTACAGACAAGTCACAATTGAGAGAATTGTTCGGTTCCGGATACGAGACCACACTGTCGGCATCGTGTATATGTAGTTACCCAAAAAAAACTTTACTCAGAATCTTGGAGAACTATAGATTTTTGTTTTCTAAGTTAAGTTTCTAAGTGCAAAGAGAGCCTTGGGAGAATCATGCTTTCATATTGTGTTTTTTTACTTATTTTTAATACAAATCCTTCAAATCCTTCATATTTCAAAATGGTTCTCTTTTTTATAAAGCAATCGCATTTCTGGCTAGTATATTTCAGGACGAATGGCTAAGGATTGAGCCAAGAGCTTGTATGAGGAAATACAATTTTTGGCAGCAAATGTCAGTTACGCGGTTTTGCAGAATGACGACTCGCGGTTTTGTACTTTAAACGACGATATATGTATATTGGGGTGCGATATATGTATTTTGTGGCGACTATATATTTTTTTTAACCCCCAAAACCCGTACCTGCGTTCGGCCCTGGGTATGTGTAAAACAAGAAAATTTTTACAATATGAAGAAAACTTCCCAAAAATTCGTACAAAAATCCGTACATCTTGACGGAAAGTTAAAAACCCGTACGGTGAATCCGTACCGTACGAAAAATATGTACATCTGGCCGGGCTGATTGCCACCAGTGCAAATTACAAATCCTGAAAATCGCGGGATTCTTGGCAGATAATACCGGGATTTCCCGGACGCAAAAAAGGCCGAGATCCCGGGACTAACATCCCTAGTAAGTACAGACAAGTCACGATTGAGAGAAATAGAGGGTGCGCCCATCGCGGTACCGCTAATCCGCTCTTTGTGATTTTGACAGAATCAGATGTGTGCGTGACGTCATCTTGGTGCAATAGTTGATTGTGAGCATACGAAAAAACCAAATAACAATTTTAATATTTGTGCGTTAATATTTCTGCGTGGTTTTAAACAATTATTGAAACTTTACAAAGCAAAATGAAGTGTGCAGTGGAAAAGCGTAATAGTGAAAACAAAAGGAAAGGAAAGGAAGCAGTTCTGACGGCGAGGAGATGCATTAAACACCAAATCGAGCTACATATGTGTTATGTGTGTGAGCTATGAGCTTCTACATGGAACTGTGGTAGNAAATGGTTCTCTTTTTTATAAAGCAATCGCATTTCTGGCTAGTATATTTCAGGACGAATGGCTAAGGATTGAGCCAAGAGCTTGTATGAGGAAATACAATTTTTGGCAGCAAATGTCAGTTACGCGGTTTTGCAGAATGACGACTCGCGGTTTTGTACTTTAAACGACGATATATGTATATTGGGGTGCGATATATGTATTTTGTGGCGACTATATATTTTTTTTAACCCCCAAAACCCGTACCTGCGTTCGGCCCTGGGTATGTGTAAAACAAGAAAATTTTTACAATATGAAGAAAACTTCCCAAAAATTCGTACAAAAATCCGTACATCTTGACGGAAAGTTAAAAACCCGTACGGTGAATCCGTACCGTACGAAAAATATGTACATCTGGCCGGGCTGATTGCCACCAGTGCAAATTACAAATCCTGAAAATCGCGGGATTCTTGGCAGATAATACCGGGATTTCCCGGACGCAAAAAAGGCCGAGATCCCGGGACTAACATCCCTAGTAAGTACAGACAAGTCACGATTGAGAGAAATAGAGGGTGCGCCCATCGCGGTACCGCTAATCCGCTCTTTGTGATTTTGACAGAATCAGATGTGTGCGTGACGTCATCTTGGTGCAATAGTTGATTGTGAGCATACGAAAAAACCAAATGACAATTTTAATATTTGTGCGTTAATATTTCTGCGTGGTTTTAAACAATTATTGAAACTTTACAAAGCAAAATGAAGTGTGCAGTGGAAAAGCGTAATAGTGAAAACAAAAGGAAAGGAAAGGAAGCAGTTCTGACGGCGAGGAGATGCATTAAACACCAAATCGAGCTACATATGTGTTATGTGTGTGAGCTATGAGCTTCTACATGGAACTGTGGTAGCCTTTCCTTGGTGAATTCTAGTACGTATATTTCCTTGGTGAATGTAGAAAGTTGCTGGTTTATTGCTACATGTTAAATTATTGCTACGTGTTCCTAATTAATTAATCTTTGCATATTTGTTGATCCCTGCAAAATTGGACTATTTAGTATTAATACTAACATATTTTTCTGCATTGGTTACATATTTTTCTACGGGTTTTGGCGTTTCTCTCTCGCAATTGCACCAAGATGACGTCACGCAAAATCTACGCTCAAAAATCCTCTCTCATGGATGCAATCTTGTATTCTATCATTCTTGCGGACAAGTGTTTTAAAACGGAAACGTTTCTGATTAAATTTTTCGTTTAATGCGCTTTCCGTTTGTACTCTCAGATGCTTTTTCATGGTTCAAAAGAAAATAAAGAAGCGCTGACGGTATTCGAACTGGCACCTTCTGAAAGCTTACAAATAATGGCAAAAACAATTTTTGATTTGTTTTTGTTTTCAAATAACATTATCTTTTTTAAACGTTTCAAACGTTTTCCGGATACGAAAATAAATGATAATTGAGTCGATTGTAGTTGATTTTTAAACGTTTTTGGATACGTAAATGAACGAAAATTGTAGTCGTTTTTTGTTCGGTTCCGGATACGAGACCGCACTGTCGGCATCGTGTATATGTAGTTACCCAAAAAAAACTACTCAGAATCTTGGAGAACTATAGATTTTTGTTTTCTAAGTTAAGTTCCTAAGTGCAAAGAGAGCCTTGGGAGAATGATGCTTTCATATTGTGTTTTTTTACTTATTTTTAATACAAATCCTTCAAATACGCCATACAAAAATAATTTTTTGTAATAATGCAATCCCTATGGCAATCGAAAAACATGCTTTCAAATAAAATAAAAACAATCAGAGTTTTATACGCGTTAATACATTTATTTCAATTGTAATTTTGTATCCATTTTTACTCCAAACAAATTAAACGTTTACAATTTTGCGTGTATAAATGCTGGGAATTCAAAGAAGGAGAAAAGGCTATAGATGACACGCAGATTATTCGTTTCGTAGTCTATATAAGTCAAGTCAATTCTTGTATAACCGGGCTTTAACAGTATTTTTATCGTGACTCGAAGTATACATACATATTTACTTTTAATTTATATTTATTAATATTTCGATCTGCATACAATGCAAGCTGTTATGACTGCTTCATTGACTCATGAATCCCGTATACATATTACTATCCATCCTGGAACCGAACAGCTTTGGGTGTAAAAGTTCAGCCACATCCTTATTTTTTGTTCTCTGTAATTTTTAGTTTGTTCCTATTAAAATACATTCGCCCTGTAGTTATAATACGTAGATTTGTTTTGTACGACTTGTACTATACATAACATATTTACTCTCTTTGCTTCATAATCTTGTTATCATCCACGTACGTCTCACTAAAAGTATTTTCTTATTCAAAAACTTTAAAACTGTTTACATGAAAAATAAACTAATTTTTGCCTCTACCTATTTTAACAGCCTTTTATATTGATGAACTACCTTTCGAATGGGATTTCACAGATTCCACATCCAAAAGTTCGACACAAACTGTTCATACTGCATACCAGATAGACAAATGTGAAGCCATTGATGGTGCTAATATTGGATTAGAAATCGAAACTGGTGCTTTCAGAGAAGTGGATCACTATTTTGCCAAACAACAGCAAAGAAGCAAGAACATTCAGCACAACACCTATCAATATCTTTAACCGAACAACGTTCGGTAGCTACAAATTGGGATTGATATTCCCATTCCAAGAGAAAGGCGATTGCGGTGACATGGAAAATTCATTTTATGTACATACATATACTAATGTTTTAACTTATTGAGATTTTTCATTACTTGCCTATAGTTATTTAAATACACACAGACGTTATTTAAATACGTACGGTCATTATACATGTATATTTTCTACATAAGATAATTGCGAAATCCTTCAGGAAATACCATTTTTTCGCTAATTTTGATCGTAGAGAGCGTTGATTTTGAAAATTAACAATTTTTATTGAATCAGTTATCATGATTAAATGAAAACAGCCTTAATTTACAATGAAACTATTATTATGCCTGTTCATGTAGTCAAAAGATTTCAAAACTATCTAGTTTTGGTGTTCATGTATCCAAAAAACTTGCAAAGTAGGGCAAATTGAGAGAGAAAAATTACAGTTTTCTAAGAGGGGAAGTAGCAAATTTTTGCCAGTAAAAACTTGCAAGCGAGTAGGGCAAATTGAGAGAGCAAATTGACGTTTTCTAAGAGGGGAAATAGCAAATTTTTGCCACTAAAAACAGCGGCTCGCATGTTGCTGAGTGCGATTGAAGCTAATAAGGAAATTATTTATGGCGTTTTTATAGTTGAAATTGACAAAATAAACCTATTTAAATATAAAATAAGACATGAGATACTGGGCTCAAACCGTCACATACCATATCATATTACTCGTCACGTAAAAACACATTTTTCGGATTATGACATACCTGAACGTACTCTTTATCCCATTCAGCTTATACGACTGACGTATCACGTGGACGGATGTTACAATTTGAGCCCTGTTTTATTAGGAAACTGCTACCAGTAAACCACAAATTTATCATCTCTAAATAAAACTTGCAAATTGTTATTGGTTTTGCGTTCTCGTACTTTTTAGATAGTTTCCCCTCTGACAGCGAATTCTCGGAGATCAAGTTACTGGAGAGTTACTGGCTAATTTTTACATGAACAAACCAATTGCCTTCCTAATTCTAAGCATTCGCATTTACGCTCAAACCACAGAAAATATAATAGAATGAAAATGGGCAGTTGTGCTGCCAAAGGGACCTGATGATTTAAAACTGTCTGTGCGCATTCGACATTCTTCAGTACGATGTTTAGTGAACAACAAAATATGCTTTTCGTCAATTACACCGGCACAAAAAAAAAATTAGTGTGTTGTGCATTTGACCGGACCTACCTATGGTTATGTATTTCGACCTGCAGAATCCGAATTTGAAGTCAGTTAGGCCAATATACCTCCTCGATTTCGAGAAAACTTTAAAAACCCGTTTTTTATTGCCGATTTTCGCTACTTTTTGCGGTTTTTTGAAGCTTTCTCGAAATCTAGGAGGTATATTGGCCAAACTGACTTCAAATTCGGATTCTGCGGGTCGAAATACATAACCATAGGTAGGTCCGGTCAAATGCACATCATACATATTCAATGAGGTTATCCGCATGAACGGAAGGCAAAAACGAAGAGATATGCAGCCATTTGCTATAGAGAATAGAGTTGCGGAATGTCAAACGAGTAGGTCGTGTATTTGCAGTGCTCCCTAGTATTTGCTTTTTATCTCGGCAATCTTTTGAAATTTACCAAAATTCGTTTATCTTCTGGCGTGCGTGTGTAGTTCGACTGTTGAGACCTACTGATATACCTGCATTGTGCCAGCTCTTCTTTCACCTGATAAATTAATATGACAACGCGAAAAAATCCAGTACGAAAACCTGCGTCTCCCCCTAAGACTCCTCTAACACCTGCATCAGCTATGTTTGATAGAATGGAGAAGAAATTGGAAGAGCAGAGAGTCTTTATCATCGAACAGTTTAGTGCAGTTATGACAGAATCGGGAGAGAGAGTTATGCAGAAGATCGGTGAGTTGGCTGCTGAAACGGTAAATTTGAAGCGCTCTATAGCAGCTATCGAAAAAGGAGTAACTGCAGTGGAGAACACGTGCACCGAAGTTCTTACTCTTAGCAGTGACTGATCGCTGTCCAGACTCACATCTGTGCTCTAGAAAGTAGTGCAGTTTCCACAGATGTAATAATCAACGGGATCCCACAAACGGCTAATGAGTGTTTGCCTGAATTCTTTTTCCAAGATTTGTGGTGCAGTGCAGCACAAGCCACCGCCTTTGCGTGGGGCTTTTCGCATACGAAGTGCAAAAGGAAATAAGCAAAAAAGCAGCAACAATTGCCCTATTGTTGTTAAGCTGCTCTCTGCGCACGACCGCAACCATCTCTTAAAATCTATTGCTATTTTCAGCAAATCAAAAAAGAGATCGCTAGCGCTCTCTGACGTTGATATGCCGGGCTATGGATCGATTTATTTGCATGAGAGTCTGCCAAAAATGCTGCGTGACGTGATGGCATATGCCTCTGAGCTTAGACGGAATAAACTATTGGTGTCAGCGTTCTCCATTCGTGGGAAAATTTTTGTGCGACTTAAGTCAAACGAAGAGCCTAAGCAAGTGAGCAGCAGATCCGAGATTAATTCTCTTACCAGCACTGAAACGCAATAACAACTACACATACACATAAACCGTATGTTAGGTTTGATTTTTACTTTGTTTTTTTCCAACTTGTGCAAGCTCAGAAATTAAGTCAGTTACGTTATGTATTTTCTCTTTCATTTCAAGCCTAGTTCCCTTCATTTATTATTTGTTTACTATTTTCTTTGTGAATTTCAAACAATTTCTCTTACTCTCTGTCCATGAATGTTTTTGTAACTTTCGGCTATTTTCCTATTATGCTATATTCTTTTCTACTTTGATTTATTTCAATCACATGCATTTATGTTTTTACATGTTCAATGCACTTTGTATTTGCCCTTTCTCTAGCTCAGTATGTTTGGTATAAACCCCGCTAGGAATTCTGCTTCCAGCATTGAGGAGCCCCATAAGGCTTTAATTAATATTATGTGTAAACAGTCGAGTGGCCTTAATGTGGTGCATTTTAACGCGCGAAGCCTTAGCAGGGATAAACTGGACTATGTTAGGAATATTTTTGTGGAGTCCGGCGTTGATGTTATCTGCGTCTCAGAAACATGGTTCAATCCTAATATTTCGGACTTTTACTATCACATCCCTAACTATAACCTTGTGCGGTTCGATCGAACAACTAAGAAAGGGGGAGGTGTTGCAATTTATTGCAGCTCTACTCTAAAAATGAGGCTTTTAGCAGTATCGCATAACTCTGATACTGAATTCGTAATTGTTGTTGGTGTAACAAAGATACTAGTGTATAACCCCCATAAGTGTTGCGTGTTAGATCCGTTTTTTGTTGAGTTATCTATGTTTTTGATTGAATATGAGCGTTATGTTGTATGTGTTGATTTCAATTTTAATCTCTTAAATGACTTATGCCACTAAGCTAATTGACCATGTATCTGCTGCAGGTCTTGAGGTAGTCAATAAACTCGTACCAACAAGATATGCCAACAATTCGCATCCTAGCCTATTAGATCTTATTATCACTTCTAGTCTACACCACGGTCTTAAATTCGACCAAATGTTTTTTATTTCTGACCATGACCTAATTTTCTGTGCATTAGATGTTGCGTTTAATAGTACTGTTGAAAGTGTTACTTTTATGTATCGTGATTTGAAATCTGTAAATGTTAGTGATCTGTTTACTAGTTGGATGACTTTTGGTACGTTGAAACTGTAGATGCAAAACTTGACTTTCTAAACAAAACTTTAACCAAATTATATTATGATCATGTTCCATTACGTGCTGTTCAGGCTATGAATAGTTCTTGTCCCTGGTATAATAATAAAGTCAGCTCCGCTATAAAAGTTCGAAATAAATTACATACAAAATGGAGACGAAACAATACTGACTTTGCTTGGTCACAGTACAAAATAGCACGAAACAAAGCTACCGTCATTATAAGACGTGCGAAACGATTGTTCTGTAACTCTAAATTGAACCCGTCCATACCATCGAAAGACTTGTGGTGCAATCTGAAAAACTTAAATGTGCACGGAAAACTTAAGTCTGAAAGTGAAATTGACCCTAACGTACTGTGCTTAGGCCGTCGCCCTAAATATTTTTTCCTTCTTCTGGTATTTTTGCCCGAAAGACGAGGCAAAGCCTGAGGGGATGTTAATGCGTAGCGTGGTATGTTTTGTGAATGAAGTCGGCCATTCACGGAAATGGATATTATTATCGATAACATGAAAAATAAATCCGATGCTTTACCAAGTTACCTCGTTCAATACCTATACCGGGTTACACTTGCAATTCACTGTATCAGGTCTGCGCAACGTTCTGATAAAATGAGTTTGATGATAGCGTGTGTGCATTAAGTGTTTGCATAAGTGAAAATAATATGCACGTTTTTTTCATATAGATAGGGTGGGTAACAATAAAAAATACATAATTATTTATTGTTATCTATTTCTCTTTAAACATTAGGGACTACTGCATCAGATTTTAATGCATATAATTTTCTATCAATTTAGTTTGTTTCCGCCACGCTTTGCGTGAAACCACCATATCAGATAAGCAAATCAAAGGCCTCATGCAACCATGCATATTCCTTCCACCCAATTATAAAGGGAGTTATGCACACCCTCTATTTCATCAATCATTAAGGAGTGTCCCTACCGGCACACTTTCGTAAATGAACGCGTAAAGTTACTTTACTGCGATGAAAACTAAGTGTATTTATGTCTGTTGTATGCTAAAATTGACAAATATTGCTCGCCACTCTACAATATATTCCTCCTTCCCGTTTCACGTCGATGCGAAGAGAAGACGAAAAGGTTCGCTACCCATTAACATGCCGACTCTGCGGCTCGAAACATCCCCTCAGGCTTTCCCTCTTCTTTCGGTCAAAAATACCAGAAGAGCGTCTGCGTGAAGTCTTAATTCANGATGGGCACGGGCCAAAATTTTCAGGCCCGGCCCAGCACGACTGCAAAATTATCTTTCAAAAACACGCACGTGCCCGCACGTTAAGAATTTTAGTGGGGCCCGGCCCGGCCCGGCACGACGGGACACGTCCCAGCCCGGAAATAAAGAGCCAACTTTTATTGTATGTATACATATGTACATATTTTTAATTTTGTGTACATGTATGTATATTTACTTAAGCGAATCAATTTTTTACATCAAAGATTTTTATTAGGTTCTTTCCCGTACGCAACGCGGGATCCCGCGGGTGCCCAAAATAGCCCAGATATCATTCCCGTACTCAACAAAATGGGTAATAGAGAGCGAAAATTGGATCGTAAGCGTCTTCTTCTTCCTGCTCAAAGCGGCCCGGACTTTTTCTCCGGGTAAAAAT